GCAAATCGTGCTGGCAAACCGTGCTGGCAAACCGTGCTGGCAAACCGTGATGGCAAACCGTGCTGGCAAACCGTACTGGCAAACCGTGCTGGCAAACCGTGCTGGCAAAACCGTGCTGGCAAACCGTGTTGACAAATCTCCCTGGCAAAACCGTGCTGGCAAACCGTGCTGGCAAACCGTGCTCGCAAATCGTGCTGGCAAACGGTGCTGGCAAACCGTGCTGGCAAATCGTGCTGGCAAAACCGTGCTGGCAAACCGTCCTGGCAAACCGTGCTGGCAAAACCGTGCTGGCAAACCGTGCTGGCAAATCGTGCTGACAAACCATGCTGGCAAACCGTGCTGGCAAACCGTGCTGGCAAAACCGTGCTGGCAAACCGTGCTGACAAACCGTGCTGGTAAACCGTGCTGGCAAACCGTGCTGGCAAACCGTAATGGCAAACCCTGCTGGCAAACCGTGCTGGTAAACCGTGCTGGCAAATCGTGCTAGCAAACCGTGCTGGCAAACCGTGCTGGCAAACCGTACTGGCAAACCGTGCTGGCAAAACCGTGCTGGCAAACCGTGTTGACAAATCGTGCTGGCAAACCGTGTTGGCAAACCGTGCTGGCAAACCGTGTTGGCAAACCGTGCTGGCAAACCGTGATGGCAAACCGTGCTGGCAAACCGTACTGGCAAACCGTGCTGGCAAACCGTGCTGGCAAAACCGTGCTGGCAAACCGTGTTGACAAATCTTCCTGGCAAAACCGTGCTGGCAAACCGTGCTGGCAAACCGTGCTGACAAACCGTGCTGGCAAATCGTGCTGGCAAACCGTGCTGGCAAACCATACTGGCAAACCGTGCTGGCAAACCGTGATGGCAAACCGTGCTGGCAAACCGTACTGGCAAACCGTGCTGGCAAACCGTGCTGGCAAAACCGTGCTGGCAAACCGTGTTGACAAATCTTCCTGGCAAAAACCGTGCTGGCAAACCGTGCTGGCAAACCGTGCTGGCAAAACCGTGCTGGCAAACCGTGCTGGCAAAACCGTGATGGCAAACCGTGCTGGCAAACCGTACTGGCAAACCGTGCTGGCAAACCGTGCTGGCAAAACCGTGCTGGCAAACCGTGTTGACAAATCTTCCTGGCAAAACCGTGCTGGCAAACCATGCTGGCAAACCGTGCTGACAAACCGTGCTGGCAAATCGTGCTGGCAAACCGTGCTGGCAAACCGTACTGGCAAAACCGTGCTGGCAAAACCGTGCTGGCAAACTGTGTTGACAATCTTCCTGGCAAAACCGTGCTGGCAAACCGTACTGGCAATCGTGCTGGCAAACCGTGCTGGCAAACCGTGCTGGCAAACCGTGCTGGCAAAACCGTGCTGGCAAACCGTGTTGACAAATCTTCCTGGCAAAACCGTGCTGGCAAACCGTACTGGCAAATCGTGCTGGCAAAACCGTGCTGGCAAAACCGTGCTGGCAAACCGTGCTGGCAAACCGTACTGGCAAACCGTGCTGCAACCCGTGCTGGCAAAACCGTGCTGGCAAACCGTGTTGACAAATCGTGCTGGCAAAACCGTGCTGGCAAACCGTGCTGGCAAACCGTGCTGGCAAAACCGTGCTGGCAAACCGTACTGACAAACCGTGCTGGCAAACCGTACTGGCAAACCGTGCTGGCAAACCGTGCTGGCAAAACCGTGCTGGCAAACCGTGCTGGCAAACCGTGTTGGCAAACCGTGTTGACAAATCGTGCTGGCAAAACCGTGCTGGCAAACCGTACTGGCAAACCGTGCTGGCAAATCGTGCTGGCAAACCGTGCTGGCAAACCGTGCTGGCAAACCGTGCTCTGATAATGGAACGTGTTCCCTTCGAACGCGATTGGCCCAAAGCTCCCTTTCAGGCAACCGGCATCGACAGGCGTGGTGAAGTATGGTCAAACAACTGCACCCCCTCCCCCCTCGCCCCAATGTTTCACACAGCATTGCGCTAACGCAGGAGGCCTTCATCCAGCAGTGGATTGACCAAGGAGTCTGTGATTGTACAAGTCTTACTCTTTGATTCTAGTCGGTAAAGTCACGTAGGTAAAAAAAATAAAACAACAAAAATCACGACGTTTCGGCCACAACACAAGTGGCCTTCATCAGGTGAAGGGACCGTACTGTCCAGAGAACAGCGTTGGAGTGAAGACCGCCAAGCCCCTTTCTGAGCCGTGGACAGATTATTTTCGAAGGTAAATCATCGATAACGCAAATTAAGCACGGACACGTAGGTTACAACTAACTATGTTTTATCAAACAAGACGAATTTTAATAACATTTTTACTTGTTCTTGGGGTCTTCCGGTAAAGTCACATAGGTAGGTTCAAAAAAAATAACAAAAATGCTACGACGTTCCGGTCGCAACACATCCTGATGGCGACCGCTTGTGTTGCGATTGAAACGTCGTAATTTTTTAATTGTTTTTTGTTATTTTCTTTGAACCTATCGACGTGAATTTACCGAAAGACCCAAAGAATGTGAATTCCTGCAGGCACGACAGCTTTAACGCAAGAGCTACACGTGTCTCAGTTGCTCAAAGTGGCCCCTGTCTCCCTCTCTCTCTGTCTCTCTGTGTCTCTCTCTGTGTGTGTGTCTCTCTGTCTCTCTCTCTGTCTCTCTGTGTCTCTCTCTGTCTCTCTGTGTCTCTCTCTCTGTGTCTCTCTCTGTCTCTCTGTGTCTCTCTCTCTGTCTCTGTCTCTCTCAATCTCTGTCTCTCTCTCTCTGTCTCTCTCTCTCTGTGTCTCTCTCTCTCTGTCTCTCTGTGTCTCTCTCTCTCTGTCTCTCTCTGTGTATCTCTCTGTCTCTCTGTGTCTCTCTCTGTCTCTCTCTGTCTCTCTCTGTGTGTCTCTCTCTCTCTGTATCTCTCTCTCTGTGTCTCTGTGTGTGTGTGTATCTCTCTCTCTGTCTCTCTGTGTCTCTCTCTGTCTCTCTGTCTCTCTCTGTGTCTCTCTCTCTCTCTCTGTCTCTCTGCCAATGAGGGATATCGCTGTAGAGCAGCGTTCATCATATGGAAGGCCCCAGGGGCTACTGCTGACCCCTGTTAGGCCTTTAGTGCGGCAGTCCCCACGACCTTATACACAAATGTGAAAACATCCTCCCATAACCACCACCACCATCATCATCGTCCACGTGGTGGCGCTGTCACCAGCATAGTGATTTAAAATGCGTGGCACGGATGACATCTTATCGGCTACTAAAGTGTGGCCACCACCTCTAGAGGCGAGGCAAACTGCATTAGAGACAGAGACAAACCCAGTGGAGGATGAAGCTCGTGCGGGGTCTGTAGCATTTGATGTTATAAAGGGGCCCTAAATAATAATAATAAAAAACAAGTAAATATTAAAACACAAATTTGTAACTTGCATAGTAAAGTAATTGCATTTGTTTTGCATTTGCTACACAGCCGGATAATATGCGACGAATCGCTAAACCTTAAACACCCGGTTGTTCGTAAAAGTTGAAGGGCAGTATAGTACTACAGTGATTGAGCAAGTGCAGAATCGCCGAAACGTAACTCATCGCTTTTCTCTGCGCTTGTGTTGCGATCGAAAAACTCGTGGGGGGTTTTCCTTCTTCCTCTTCTGTTGATTTTAAATTTATTAAAATTAAAATAAAATGTTAATTTTCCCGAAAGAACCAAGAATATGAACAGACAGCTTTGAAGCGTTCAGCGCGCGGGGCGTTCGAGGGCAATGGAGGTTAACGTGATGATCGCAGTCACAAGCAACGCGATATCGCGATGATCTAAACATCGCGATAACCGAATCATATCGCGATAATCGAGCCATATCGCGATAATCGAAACATTGCGATAGTCGAAACATAGCGCGATAATCGAAACATCGCGATAACCGAAACATCGCGATAATCGAAACATATCGCGATAATCGAAACATATCGCGATAACCGGGACATCGCGATAATCGAGGCATATCGCGGTGATCGAAACATATCGCGATAATCGAGACATATCGCGATAACCAAAGCATATCGCGATAATCGAAACATTTGGCGATAATCAAAAACATATCGCGATATGCGATATCGCACAGGGAAGTTACGGTGCATATCTGCGCAGCCATTCACCATCACCACCCCTCCTGCTCTCTCACAAACACCACCACCACCAGCATCATCATCGCTCCCTCCCTCTCCCTTAACTCTCCCCTTCTCTCTCTAACGAGCTCACACACTCCTCTCCATCACCACTACAGCATCACGAGTACCACCGTCACCACTGCAGTTTCACCGTCATCACTGTCACCACAACAGCATCACCATCATCACTCCAGTACCAGCATCATCACTCCAGTACCAGCATCAGCACTACAGCATCACGAGTACCACCGTCACCACTCCAGTTTCACCGTCATCACTGTCACCACAACATCACCACAACATCATCACCACCATCACTCCAGTACCAGCATCATCACTACAGCATCACCACCATCATCATCACTCCAGTACCAGCATCATCACTACAGCATCACCACCATCATCATCACTCCAGTACCACAATCACCACTACAGCATCACAAGTACCACCGTCACCACTGCAGTTTCACCGTCATCACTGTCACCACAACAGCATCACCATCATCATCATCACTCCAGTACCACAATCATCACTACAGCATCACTGTCACCACAACAACATCACCACCATCATCATCATCACTCCAGTACCACAATCATCACTACAGCATCACTGTCACCACAACAGCATCACCACCATCATCATCATCACTCCAGTACCACAATCATCACTACAGCATCAGCATCATCACTACAGTACCACCATCATCAGCACGACAGCGTCACCATCATCACTACAGTCTCACCATCATCACTACAGCATCACAAGTACCACCCATCACAATCACAGCATCATCACAGTCGCAGCACCAACCACCCACCCCAACACACACGCGCACACCAACACACACACACACACACCCCAACACACACACACACACCCCAACACACACACAACACACAACCCAACACACACAAACACAACCCAACACACACACACGCACGTCTCTGACATCAACAACAACATTAACAACAACATCAACAACAACAACATCAACAACAACATCAACAACATCGGAGGCCGCGTTCACCATCGCCGCGTGTGCACGAATTGCGGCGCTCATTCACAGAGTGGGGGGGTGGGAGTCATGGACGAGGAGACGATCATCACCCTCATCAGGGACGAGGTGAGACACACACACTTACACACACTTACACACACTTACACACCTTATACACACACATTTACACTTACACACACACCTTATACACACACACTTACACACACACCTTACACACACACGCACACCTTATACACACACACCTTATATACACACACACCTTATACACACACAATTACACTTACACACACCTTATACACACAAACTTACACACACACTTACACACACATTTACACACACACCTTATACACACACACCTTAAACACACACTTTATACACACACAGACACTTACGCACACACTTACACATACACACACACTTACACACACACTTTATACACACACACACTTACACACACCTTACACACACACTTACACACACACTTACACACACTTGCACACACACACCTAATGCACACACACAACTTATACACACACTTAAACACACAGACTTGCACACGCACACTTACACACACACCTTACACACACACAACTTACACACACACCTTACACACACACACACACACCTTATACACACACTTACACACACACACTTACACACACACACTTACACACACACCTTACACACACACACACACTTACACACACACCTTACACACACACACCTTATATACACACACACACACCTTATACACACGCACTTACACACACACACTTACACACACACACTTAGAGACATACATTTACACACACCTTATACACGCAAACTTACACACACACACTTACACACACACATTTACACACACACACCTTATATATACACATACACCTTATACACACACACCTTAAACACACACACAGACACTTACACACACACTTACACACCTTACACACACACACTTACACACACACACTTCTTACACACTAACACACTTACACACACACTTACACACACACTTGCACACACTTACACACACTTACACAGACACTTACACACACACTTACACACTTGCACACACACACACCTAATGCACACACACAACTTATACACACCCACTTACACACACACACTTACACACACTTACACACACATTTACACATACACACCTTACACACACACACTTACACACACACACTTCTTACACACTAACACACTAACACACTTACACACACACACTTACACACACACTTACACACACTTACACTTTACACACACACACTTACACACACACTTACACACTTGCACACACACAGCTTATACACACACACACACACCCACTTACACACACACACTTACACACACTTACACACACACACCTTACACACACACACAACTTACACACACACACACACCTTACACACACACACCTTATACACACACTTACACACACACACTTACACACACATTTACACACACCTTATACACACAAACTTACACGCACATACACATTTACACACACACACCTTATACACACACCTTAAACACACACACAGACACTTACACACACACTTACACATACACACACACTTACACACACACACTTTATACACACACACTTACACACACACTTACACATACACACACACTTACACACACACACTTTATACACACACACTTACACACACATTTACACATACACACCTTACACACACACACACTTACACAAACACTTCTTACACACTAACACACTAACACACTTACACACACACACACTTACACACACACTTACACACACTTACACTTTACACACACACACACTTACACACACACTTACACACACTTGCACAAACACACCTTATATACACACACTTACACACACACTTACACACACACTTACACACACACACACCTTACATACACAACTTACACACACACACCTTACACACACACACACCTTATACACACACACTTACACACTTACACACACACACTTACACACACACCTTACACACACACACACACCTTATATATATACACACACACACCTTATACAAACACACACTTACACACACACCTACACACACACACCTACACACACTTACACATACACACCTCTTATACACACACACCTCTTACACACACACACATCACTTACACACACACCTAAACACACACACAGACACACCTCTTACACACAAACACCTCTTGCAAACACACACACCTTACACACACACCTTATATACACACACCTTATAGACACACACTTACACACACACTTACACACACACCTACACACACACCTACATACACTTACACATACACACCTCTTATACACACACCTCTTACACACACACACATCACTTACACACACACCTAAACACACACACAGACACACCTCTTACACACACTTCTTACACACACACTTACAGACACACCTACACACAAACCTCTTACACACACACACACACACACCTCTTACACACACACACACCTCTTGCACACACACACACACTTACACACACACTTACACACACACACCTTACACACATACACCTCTTACACACACACACCTTACACACACACACACCTCTTACACACACACCTCTTACACACACACACCTCTTACACACACACACACCTCTTACACACACACACTTACACACACCTCTTAAACACACACACACACACCTCTTACACACACACACCTCTTACACACACACACACACACACCTCTTACACAAACACACTTACACATACACACGTCTTACACACACACACTTGCATACACACCTCTTACACACACCTCTTACACACACACACCTCTTACACACACACACCTCTTACACACACACCTTACACACACACCTTACACACACACCTTACACACACCTTACCCACATACACACCTCTTACACACACACACCCTACACACACACCTCTTACACACACACCTTACACACACACCTTACACACACCACTTACACACACACACCTCTTAGACACACACCTTACACACACACCTTACACACACACCACTTACACACACACACACCTCTTACACACACACCTTACACACACACACTTACAAACACACTTACACACACACACCTCTTAAACACACACACCTTACACACACACATCTCGTACACACACACCTTGCACACACACACTTACACACACACACTTACATACACATCCCCCTTACACACACACTTACACACACACACACCTCTTACACACACACATCTTACACACACACCTTACACACTTACACACACACTTACAAACACACTTACACACACACACTTACACACACACACTTACACACACACACTTACACACAGACACTTACACACACACCTTATACACACACCTCTTACACACACACACACCTTACACACACACCTTACACACACACCTCTTACACACACCCCTCTTACACACACACACCTTACACACACACCATACACACACACCACTTACGCACACACACACCTCTTACACACACACCTTACACACACCTTACACACACCACTTACACACACACACTTATATACACACCCCCCTTACACACACACTTACACACACACACCTCTTACACACATACTTCTTACACACACACCTCTTACACACACACCTTACACACTTACACACACACTTACACACACACACACCTCTTACACACACACCTCTTACACACACACCTCTTACACACACACCTCTTACACACACACATTACACACTTACACACACACTTATACACACACACACTTACACACACACACCTCTTACACACACCTCTTACACACACACTTACACACACACACCTCTTACACACACACCTTACACACATACACTTACAAACACACTTATACACACACACACCTCTTAAACACGCACACCTCACATACACACACACCCTTACACACACACCTCTTACACACACACCTTACACACACACACTTACACACACACTTACACACACACACACTTACACACACACACACTTACACACACACACCTTACACACACACTTACACACACACCTCTTACACACACACACCTTACACACACACACCTCTTACACACACACTTACCTTACACACACACCTCTTACACACACACCTTACACACACACACTTACACAATCACTTACACACACACACTTACACACACACCTACACACACACCTACATACACTTACACATACACACCTCTTATACACACACCTCTTACACACACACACATCACTTACACACACACCTAAACACACACACAGACACACCTCTTACACACACTTCTTACACACACTTACAGACACACCTACACACAAACCTCTTACACACACACACACACACACCTCTTACACACACACACACCTCTTGCACACACACACACACTTACACACACACTTACACACACACACCTTACACACATACACCTCTTACACACACACACCTTACACACACACACACCTCTTACACACACACCTCTTACACACACACACCTCTTACACACACACACACCTCTTACACACACACACTTACACACACCTCTTAAACACACACACACACCTCTTACACACACACACCTCTTACACACACACACACACACACCTCTTACACAAACACACTTACACATACACACGTCTTACACACACACACTTGCATACACACCTCTTACACACACCTCTTACACACACACACCTCTTACACACACACACCTCTTACACACACACCTTACACACACACCTTACACACACACCTTACACACACCTTACCCACATACACACCTCTTACACACACACACCCTACACACACACCTCTTACACACACACCTTACACACACACCTTACACACACCACTTACACACACACACCTCTTAGACACACACCTTACACACACACCTTACACACACACCACTTACACACACCTTACACACACACCTTACACACACACCACTTACACACACACACACACCTCTTACACACACACCTTACACACACACACTTACAAACACACTTACACACACACACCTCTTAAACACACACACCTTACACACACACATCTCGTACACACACACCTTGCACACACACACTTACACAC